GTCAGAACAGCCGGCATTGTAGTCTACTCTCCCAGGATCAGGAAACAGTCCTCCATAAAATGTGCTGCACACATCTGAATATTTGGGTTGAAGTGTTCTGGAACAGTGTTGTAAATACAACTTAACCACTGATTTCTAGTCGTGTCCTCTTTTGGAAGACCAAACAAAGTAGTTTCGCTTTCACGACGAAACACAGCGTCTTCACGACATGACGGCGACGGTGGCAGCAACAATAAAGTCACGCCTTCTTTCTTTGCGTGAACATTTGGGCGGCGTTATGCAAATCTTCCCACATAGTGATGTAGACATGTGGGGGCGTGTTAGAACGAGCAGTTTTAGGGGGGCGTGGCAGAGTCTTAACTTTGATAAAGAATATCTCTTTGGGTTTGAGACTTTAGTCTTTGCAACTTTAGGGATCTTATCTATTCACGAACAGCTTGTAACACTCTCGCTATTAACAAACCATTAACTACGACTTTTGACTCCTAATTTGCTGCTTATTAATAGTTAGAATATGTGATTTATAAGTACTAATAAACAGCCAATATGCTAATAATAGGCATGCTAATAAGCAGCTAGTTAATAGTGAGAATTGGTCCATTTACTAAAGTGTTGCCTGCAAATATTGTTGGGCGATTAATCAGCATATCATGTAGTCTTATCACGTTGACCAAAATTTTAGATGAACATCCCTAATTGATGTGTGGTGTTTCTCAGATCTGCTTGGGAAATGTATCGGTGAGGAAGCAAAGTATGAGGGCGTCAAGATGCTTTTCAACGCCATTCAGCAGCCATTGCTCAACAAACAGGTCCTCAAACGCTCTCACTCTCTGCTATGTTGCCTATTCTCTTTCATTGATCTTTTTCACGGATCTCTCATTTGCTCATAGATGACGTACGTGTTGCTTGACATCGCTGTCCAGGAGCTGTTCCCAGAGCTCAGTGAGGTAACGCTCTCCTTCACCACTCACACTGTGACACAGAGCAGCTCATCGTGTTATTAATGGAGCTTCTGCTGTTTTGTCTTTTGTAGAATCAGAAGGCAGGTCTCTCCGTCTCCACTAGATGGATGTAAAACATTATCGGACCTAACATCAACATTATAAAGCGTTTATTGCACTACTAAAATACAATTATTTATTGACTTTAATGGGGTTTGTATGCCATGGCTATTCATTGGAAACCTGCCTTATTTTTACAGTCGAGTAGTAAAAGCATGATAATAACAAAAGGTTTGGATCAAGTAGATTGTGATTCAAGACACATAATGTCATTATCAGCATGATAACATTCTTCAGATCAGATGTAAATAAACATTTTACACTCTTGATGGTCCCTGAAGATACTCAGAAAGACACAAGATACAGACAAGTTAAAAATAAAAAAATCAATGACAGAACTGAGACATTTCATATAGTGTCACAGCCATGTGCAAAATAAAAGTACTGAAAAAAATGTTTTTGTAAATGCACTTCTGGCTTTGTGCTCCGTAAATAAAATCTTAATATATCCAGCAGCTTTGTCCCTGGTTATGTGTTTTACAATAAATCTTAATCTATTTAAAATAAATGCTTTGTAAAAATATGAATAGCTACCTTAGAAAAAAAGAGGATGGAGATTTCTTGCCAGACAAACCGCTATCTATAATCATCACAAGCTGTGCCGTTTAATTAACCATAATCATCATCAAGAAACAAATTACAGATAAATAACTTTACCCTTTTTTATAAGAATCTCATGAAAAGATGTACAGGTCATAATTGAGAAGAAAATAATAATTTTGGAAAAAGAAAATGTCTGTTTGAGGACCAAATTATTACTGTAATACAAAACAATAAAAGTTGACATGAATTAAATCATACTACCATAATGCATAATGTAAATTGTACTTTTTTTTTATTTTCACATTGCAGTCATGAGAATTTGAGGTTAGGGTTAGCTGAATTATCATGAAATATTACCAAAATATCCTTAATGGGCCTAAAAATAGGCTTTTTAAGCAAAAATTATTTTGAAGTGAAATATGATCTGGACATCTCTTTGTGAGATTCAGCATAAGTATACCCTCTATGAGTTTTAAAGATGAGATAGAAAGATCCCTATAGAATAAGAACTTGTGACTTTCTTTGATCCTTACTACATCACAGTGTTGCCAGTTAATCTGTTTGCTTCTATGACAGTAACTAATCTTTGGATTAAAGGTGTCTTTTGTTCTCTCTGACTGTACAATGACACACAAATGGCTACATAATAAACGACTAAACAAACGTGACCCAGAGTACCCACACCAGCAGAATAGTGGACATATATCCTCGATGTCCAATACAAGAGCTTGTGAACTGAATCCGTCCTTCCACAGCTGGATGAACTCTCTTTCTCTCTGAGATGTAGCTGGCAACAACTGCTATATCCAGGTCGCCTATGGAATATGGTACACAGTATATTGTAATGCTAAGTGTATGATGAAATGTGCATATACAGGTGCATCTCAATAAATTAGAATGTCATGGAAAAGTTCATTTATTTCAGTAATTCAACTCAAATTGTGAAACTCGTGTATTAAATAAATTCAATGCACACAGACTGAAGTAGTTTAAGTATTTGGTTCTTTTAATTGATGATTTTGGCTCACATTTAACAAAAACCCACCAATTCACTATCTCAACAAATTAGAATACTTCATAAGACCAATAAAAATAACATTTCTAGTGAATTGTTGGCCTTCTGGAAAGTATGTTCATTTACTGTACATGTACTCAATACTTGGTAGGGGCTCCTTTTGCTTTAATTACTGCCTCAATTCAGCATGGCATGGAGGTGATCAGTTTGTGGCACTGCTGAGGTGGTATGGAAGCCCAGGTTTCTTTGACAGTGGCCTTCAGCTCATCTGCATTTTTTGGTCTCTTGTTTCTAATTTTTCTCTTGACAATCCCCCTTAGATTCTCTATGGGGTTCAGGTCTGGTGAGTTTGCTGGCCAGTCAAGCACACCAACACCATGGTCATTTAACCAACTTTTGGTGCTTTTGGCCGTGTGGGCAGGTGCCAAATCCTGCTGGAAAATGAAATCAGCATCTTCAAAAAGCTGGTCAGCAGAAGGAAGCATGAAGTGCTCCAAAATTTCTTGGTAAACGGGTGCAGTGACGTTGGTTTTCAAAAAACACAATGGACCAACACCAGCAGATTACATTGCACCCCAAATCATCACAGACTGTGGAAACTTAACACTGGACTTCAAGCAACTTGGGCTATGAGTGTCTCCACCCTTCCTCCAGACTCTAGGACCTTGGTTTCCAAATGAAATACAAAACTTGCTCTCATCTGAAAAGAGGACTTTGGACCACAGGGCAACGGTCCAGTTCTTCTTCTCCTTAGCCCAGGTAAGACGCCTATGACGTTGTCTATGGTTCAGGAGTGGCTTAACAAGAGGAATACGACAACTGTAGCCAAATTCCTTGACACGTCTGTGTGTGGTGGCTCTTGATGCCTTGACCCCAGCCTCAGTCCATTCCTTGTGAAGTTCACTCAAATTCTTGAATCGATTTTGCTTGACAATCCTCATAAGGCTGCGGTTCTCTCGGTTGGTTGTGCATCTTTTTCTTCCACACTTTTTCCTTCCACTCAACTTTCTGTTAACATGCTTGGATACAGCACTCTGTGAACAGCCAGCTTCTTTGGCAATGAATGTTTGTGGCTTACCCTCCTTGTGAAGGATGTCAATGATTGTCTTCTGGACAACTGTCAGATCAGCAGTCTTCCCCATGATCGTGTAGCCTAGTGAACCAAACTGAGAGACCATTTTGAAGGCTCAGGAAACCTTTGCAGGTGTTTTGAGTTGATTAGCTGATTGGCATGTCACATGCAGTGAATTGGTGGGTTTGAAGTGCACTTACTGTGCCGGTGTAACACCGAGAACACAGAGAAAGTCTCGCGACCCCCTACGGAATGATCCTCGACCCACTAGTGGGTTGAGAAACACTGGCCTAGTGAACCAAACTGAGAGACCATTTAGAAGGCTCAGGAAACCTTTGCAGGTGTTTTGAGTTGATTAGCTGATTGGCATGTCACCATATTCTAATTTGTTGAGATAGTGAATTGGTGGGTTTTTGTTAAATGTGAGCCAAAATCATCACAATTAAAAGAACCAAAGACTTATAACTACTTCAGTCTGTGTGCAATGAATTTATTTAATACACGAGTTTCACAATTTGAGTTGAATTACTGAAATAAATGAACTTTTCCACGACATTCTAATTTATTGAGATGCACCTGTATAATGACTTACCGCTGTCATGCTTGAGTTTCTGTTGTTTGATCATAGAGTATCCATCTCCTCCGTCCATTAGGTAAGAGGGCAGCACCACTTTATACACCTTCTTTTGGTTGAGCGGTTCATAACGGGGCACTCGACACTCAGTGCAGAGCACATTCACGCTTTTAACACGGTTTCCAGGCGATTTTGATAAATCATACACCAGCTGAAACCCTGCAAGGTAATTATAAACATCAAATGAATATCTGAATTAACACTCAAGTCATACGAACTAGTTTTATGATGCTTTGTTCATTTTGAGAGCTTAGCAACATTTGTCCATGCTATTCCAGTACTCAAATTGAGGGGGAGCGCTAGTTCACTTATGGCGCTTTTCCACTGCATGGTACAGCACGGTACGGCTCGGTACGGGTCACTTTTGGGGGGTTTTCCACTGGGTACAGTACCTGGTACTTTTTTTTAGTACCACCTCGGTTGGGGTTCCAAGTGAACCATACCATTACCAAAACGTGACGTGTAAACTCTGCTGATCACGGATTGGCCAGAGAGAATCGTCACTACCTGCGTCACTGAACTTGCGACACAAACACAAAAGAACCGCTAGATTTAAATCAGCACAGCCAGCGAAAGATCGAACGCAACTGTTTTGAACGAGCGCACCTTTTTTTTAACAACCAAAAGTTGTTGTCTGTTGAGGAAGTACAGATGTTCCTCTCATTGATAGCAGAGGAGCGGATCCAGCGAGAGCTTGATGGGGCGAAGCGGAATGAAAAAGTTTTTTTTTAGGAGTCGTGGTAGTAGAGGCGGCGCAACTATTATAACGACATGCGAATAATCCCGCCCACTCTAAAGCGGTACTGAACTGCAGTGGAAACGCAAACCGTGCCGAGCCGAATCGTGCCGTGCCGTACTGAGCCGTACCGAGCCGAGTCGTACCACGCAGTGGAAAAGCGCCAATAGAGTATACTTATAAACAGCTTACAAGAATTTCCCCAAAGTAAACGTACCTGACACCTGTAGGAATTCACCAGTGCTTCCTCCGTATCTGCGAACGGAGTGCTCAAAGACCTCGCGCAGAGTCGATCCATTCATTTGGACCAGGTCAAATGTACCTCCAAATGGCAACGCAGCGATCAGATCCTCCATTGTGATGGAGCCTTCAATCGAAACATGCATTATGTGTTTCAGTATTATATTTACTGCTCCTGAAATCCTTAAACATCACAACCAAGTCAATTAAACTTAAGGGATATCGATCTGTCCCGTTAGGAAGCATAAGTGATTGTGAATCAGTGTCTCATACCATTTCTGTTTCGCTCATCAATAGGTGATCGAATGGCTCCACCGTTCAGAATACAAGAGCTGACATGGTTCCACTGGATTTCATCAGCGTATTTAATATTATTATGAACCTAAAATACAAGCAGGAAAGGTGTCCTTAAGAGCACGATTTTCAGCAAATCTACCAAATTATATAGCAGGTCTGTTTAGAGTTGACAGTACTCCAATTTAATTTGAATTTCTATTTTCACTTTGCCACTGGTTGAAATGTTTGCTGTTCGGATCATTTTATTACTTTCAAGTTTGGATTTGGCTCAAGTTTCAAGTTTTCAAATTTGCTTCTGAGACTGCTGTTAGTTCCTATTGGGTTTGAGATTTTGCGTTTTGGTTTTGGCTGAGCGATAAGTGCTTGATTGAACTTTTTCAGGTACAAAGACTGTTTCTGAATGTGTATTTGTTTGTGCCTGGTATCAACATCTTTCTCCAGTGATCCAAGTCAAGACATGACAGATGTTAATACAAGATGTAAGCAGACACATATTCAAAAACAATCACGCAATATGTGTCTCTGCATGTTGTTCTCAAGCACGCTGAAGAACTATGAAGTTTTGGCATGTTTGGCGTTCCAATTTGTTCTGATGTAATGCTTATTTTATGCATGCAACCAGCAATGGTTGATTGTTGAGATCAGTGGATGGTCCTACAACCATTCTGGATGCAGCTTACACCTAGATTTCTCTCAGATCACACTACACTAATGATAATACCAGGTGTAAACAGGGCCTTAAGATTAACATCTGCATTGTCACTCAATGCATTTGTAGGTGTTAAAGTTGAACTATTTTGTACACAATATTCATACATCATGCTCTACAGAGTGAGATGTTAGTCCCATCTAGAGTAGTCCTCATGTCCATGAAAAACAATATGCAAAATAATGCTATCAAAAATATGTAACAGCAAATGTATCTTTAAAGTCGGTCGCCGTGATTTTGCCAAGTAAGACATGTTCCTGGATCAACATCTTTTGTTGATCCTGGATCAACATTACTGTCCAAAAATATAGACTAAACCCAATCCCTACCCATAATTTATTCCTAAAATCAGTGTGAAATGATATCTGATTAACAAGGGTGTAGAAGCACCTAACCCTGATCGTAAGTCTAAAACAGATATTTCCTGA